GGGCCTGCCGAGATGGGGCGTCCGAGGAAATGGCCACAGCGGAATGATCACCGTCACCATCATGGGTGCCACTCCAACGAAACGCAAAGGACAGGTACTCGTTAAACAGAGAGAGGGCATCACGGATGTGCCGTAACAGAAAACCTAAAAACGCAACAAAAATCGCTATTTCAAATTAAAACTGGGTTTAAAGCGCCGTGAAGCAGAATGTTGTGGGAATTGATTAAACCTGAAGAATTCCATATACATACATATATATGTGTGTGTGTGTGTTTCTTTGCATCTACAAAAGAAATAGTAATAATAATAATAATAATAATAATAATAATAAAACAGCAGCTTCTTTCTGTACAGACACAGATGAAAATCTGAACCATAAAAAACTTATAAAAGTGACACGAATAAGTGATGTGTGTGTGTGTGTGTGTTCCACGGTCTGACATAGAACTGTGAGACCTTCCAGAAGCGTCTGGATCAGTGTTTCCCAATCCGGTCCTTGAGGACCGCAGACGGTCCATGTTTTTGCTTCCTCCCGGCACCCGGGGCTGTCTGTGAACTGTCTGGCAGGGAGCTGGGAGGTATCAAAAATGTGGACCGTCTTTGGGTCCCCGAAGGACCGGAGTTGGGGAACACTGCTCTGGATTTTAGAGACCAGCAGCCGGTGAGAGCACCTGCTCCCGACACAATGCTCCGCCCACACATTCGGCCGGAGGCGCGGTGCAGCGTGTCGCATAAAACTCTCAGTCCGCGTTTTTGAAGCCCGATCCCATGGTGAATCGCTCACCTCCGCTTTCTTTCTTTGCGATTCGTTATTCGCTTTTTAACATTGTTTTTGGTGCGGAATCGTTGTGTGTGTGTTTTAGCTCCATTGCGAGTCGCCTCTCACCGTGGGGGTAGGCGGAGGTGGCCATCCTTTGTGCTGATTGTCACTGTGATGTGAAAAAATAAAGACAAAAAGAGGAACAAAAAAAACTAACAGGTATTTCATTTTGGCAAAAAGTTTGGCAGAGGTGAGAGGCTGGAGCAGGGTACACCACAGGGAGGTCCTGGAAGGATGGGCATGCTCCCGGGGGGGTCGGCAGGGGAGGGGCGGCTGGGCCTGGCGCTGGGAGAGCCAGCAGAGGGAGAAAACACAGTAGCTCGCCTGCATTCAGGCCCCGTCGCTCACACAAGACTGAAAAGTGCTGCTTCGTTGAATTTCGCCGGTAGACAGTTCCCAGTGGCACGCATCTCTGGGGGGGGGGGGGTTTTTT